ACATACGGAAAATCTACAAATTGAATGATCAGTCTGTAAATAATTGATAACCTTCGAGCATCGATATTCACTATAAAAGTCCTCCTTAGAGGCAGTGGAGTACTGATGGAAAAACACACTGTTTTGGGGATCAGAAGACCTGGCTCTGCTACCCAGTAGCAGGTGTCTGTAGACAAGTCTCAAACTTGAGCCTCAGTTTACCTATTTGCAAAACAAGCACAGTAGTCTCTGCCTTCCCAGCTTGCCTCTCAGGACTTTTCCCCTAAAGTTTGTTTTATGTAATGTGATATAAGACATTTGTTAGGATGAATGATTTTATTTATCTTTCAGTAAATTATAGATTTTCAAAAAAGCCACTCTGAATATTTATGATTAAATTTAGATAGCTTTTAAAGTCTAGCCCAAATAGACACGGAATAATTGCATTCTGTGATGTTGATGCTAATGTCATAGGCAAGATACCATTGATTTAGATGAAAGGCATTTGGATTTAAAAGCAAAAAAAAAATTATGAACAGGAATTGATAGTCACAAAACAGCTAGTTCAGAACAAGATTCTTTTATATCTAGGGGCAGATACAGAGGTTGTTTAAAATGGTTAACATTTAATAATGCCTGATTAAGTCTGGAGTTCACAAAATCTGCAGTGTGTGCTAATGCCAATTACTAGAAATAATGAGTTTATGTAAAGACCTGGATTTTTTCTTGTTTCAGCTATTAACAAAAATTTTAACAGCAACCCCTCTAATTGCACATTTATGATTTCCTTCCAACAAAACCCTTTCACACACAAATCCCTCTAAGAAACACACCCATCTTCTATAACTGCTGAAAGGGGATAGTGACCATTCTTGGAGTATTAGTTTATAAAGTCTCTGAATTTTTCAGAAATAATTTTAAGTGTGAAAACATCAAATTGATAATACTTGGACTTACTGAGTACTTTGTGATAAAGTGTTTTCACATACATTACTGGAGTTGTTCCCCACAGTCAACTTGTGAAATAGGCAGGTGTTACCATTTGATAAATAATAGAATCAAATAAAAGAGAATAACTGACTTGCTCAAGGTCCTGTGATGATCAAATAGCAGAAATGGATCTAAAACCACTTCTTCAGTCTTCTGGTCCAGACCATATTTATTACAGACACCATTGTCTCCTTGGAAAAAGGATATGTGTCAGTTAGCTTTTGCTGTATAACAAACCACCCCATAATTGTAGCTTAAAGCAACTACCACTTATTTAGTGATGATTCTGTGGGCCAGCACTTTGGACCAGGTTCAGTTTGGGTCTGGAAGTATGGGCAGGATAAATGCTGGGACTTTTATGGTTTGTATTTATATTCTGTGAATGTGTCAGGGATTTTTTTTTTTTTGAATCGCTCCTTGATTTCTTTTTCTACCCCATTTTAGCCTGTTATGATATCTGACTTTTTTCTCTCAAACTTAGGAGTAAGTGGAGTCAGGACCAAGGATAGATCCTATATTGTCTCGGCTTTCCTGGGGTTTCTCTGAGATATCTTTCACATGCTGCCCTAGGAGGACACTGAGGACCTGGTCTTGGGTGTTATCTTGGTTTTTTGTAGGAGGAGAGGCTCAATCTCAGTGCAGGTGGTCCCTGAGAGAAGGGAAGCCTGAGTGTGGAGACAATAAGCTAAAAGGCACCCTCCCTCCTCTGAGGGCTCTCTTTATTGGATAATCCTCTCCTGCTAATAATTATTATAATAACCACTAATACTATAATCCAGAGACCATGTCATATCTTAATTTTGAACATCAACTATTGTGTATCACATAGTAATGTTCAATAAGTATAGTTTATTGTTAATCGGTGTTTGTTCTTTTTTACTTTGACCTTTTGAAATCTCCAGTTAATTATTGAGGAAGAAAAAAAATGAATGCTTTTGTATTTAGAGTTTATCCAAAGCTCTCTTGTTTTTTTAAAAAAGGTATTCTCAACAGCAGAGGTCCCTTACCTAATTACCTAAATATTAGATTCTTAAAGAAAACAAAATAGGGAAGATTATTTTTCCATTGCCAAGATCCATGAAACTAATCCAATTCTACCATTTTTTTTTGTTGTTCTCTTCTATATCTTTCCCCATCTTATGTTCTGGTGCCTGTGTTGTTGTGCATATAAATACCACAGGTATTAATTAGACATGCCTTGTCAGTTCTGAGTGCTGTATTTTAAGAAAGCTATTGCTTTTTAATGGATTTGGATGTGGTGAGAGGATGATGTCCACAATGGAGACGTGCCCAGAAATCATGCCTTGTGGATTAGTGCTTTAAGCAACTAGTGATGTTGTATCTAGAGAAGAAAAAGGCATGATAGGTGTCTTGATTACTTAGTTATCACCTAGAAAGTGTATTCTATGCAATACCTGTCGTCCAACTAACACTAACACATAGACATCCCCAGTAACTTTATTCTGAGTGACATCAGAACTCTAACACCAGTGAGTGGACATTACAGGATAGAATATCTGTGCTTAATAAATTTAAAATAAATACAATTGGTGACATTTAGCTGTGGAATCATCTGAGTCCCATCCATGAGGCCAGAACACATCAAGTCAAGTGAACGGCCTCAGAAGAGGCAAACATAGAGTAAGGTCCAAAAGGAAAGATGGTAGTCAGACCATAATATACTATAAAGCTTATGACTGCATGGCCAGAATGGAAAGAGAATCTTTCTATGCCTCAGGGAGAAATTGGTTAGTGGCATCCCAGGTTGTAATTCTGAATATATTTTCATGAATTTACTTGATGTTACATAGTGGCTATATAGTACTTTTACTGAAACAATAATTACGTAGATTTATGTTAAAAGAACCCAGTACCCATTTATTCATTAATGCAGCTAATATATATTTATTGAACACCTTCTATTCCTAAGCACTCTTCTGGGCTCTGGGGATAGAACAAGAAGAAAAAGAAAAAGTCCTTATCCTTAAAGAGCTTATATTCTAGTAACCACCTAAATTTTGCAAATGTATAAAGAATTAATATGGCTTCTAGCCAAAAATAATTTTCCCTTTTACATGTGTTTGTGTCTGTCAGATTTGCCTTAATTAATTTCCTGAATAAAGGATTATCATTTAAAAATACATTTTAGTAGAATAATCATAGCCATCAATTATAATTTGTATCATCTTTATATATATTGCATAAATTTCAAAAATTAAATAGAAATATTTTATTTTTCTGGAAATCTTTCTACTTATGAAAGTAAAGATGAGGCTCATGTCTCATGCATTGATACATTTGAGGTTTTTCTTATTCAGGAACTTGAATCTATAGTTACCATGTAATTCTATCCAAAAGTCATTTCTTGGGTTACTAAATCATTATTTGTGGGTGTCCATCTGGGTTATGAATATCCCAAGAATTCAGGATTTAATGTCACATTAAAAAAAAAAAAAAACAGATGTCACAGTAATGCCATGAAGTCATTTTAAATAGAAGGGATGTTAAAGGTTATCGGGTCTATAGACCTGTGTGTTTAGAAATGAAAACACAGAGGCAGAGTGACTTTCTAAGGCCTGGAATCTGTCTTCTGGTCCTTAAGCTATGGGTTTCTCTACCCCTCCGCACAGGCTGATTTTCTCCACCATCTTATTAGACTGTATATTGGCTAAAGCGTATTAAGAAGGCTGTAAAGAGTCAGTGCTGCCCTGCCTGACATGAGTGTTCTCAGGGCGCTGCTCCTAACCCTCCTGGCCTGTCAAACGCCTGATATCTGTGTTACCCCAACCAGATGGCTCAAATTCCCACTTACACTAGGGTTCAGCTAAATCTCAGGAGGCAGATGACTTTCCAGGTTTCAGTAATGGAGTAAGCATCACCTGAGGACCTTAGTCAATATCAGTTAACTTTCTGAATTTCATAAGGTATCGATAAACATGTACACAACAATACAAATATTTTCTGAGCACTTATTGGGTACCATGCACTGTGTTAACGTCCTAACACATTTCAACTCTGGTTCTCACAACCTGTCAGGTGGATACACTTCTCAGCCCCATTTTACAGAGGCAGAAACTGAAGGCAGAATGGTGCCAGAAGTGATGGGACTAGTCAGCATTAGGGATGGAATCCAGCTCTTCGGTACCTCCATGAAATCATTTGACTTAATGTTGCCTTGTTTGGCACCTGGAGCCACAGACTCAGAGAGTTTAGATGATCTCTTCAGGATTATAAGAGGGGGGATGGGTGCAAGGGCAAGTCACACTTTGTACACAGTGCTGCTGATTTTACAGTGCAGATGATCTTAGGATGGGTCCTCCTGCCAGGCTAAGTGAGTTCTTAATCTAATATTTGTCTTACAATTAAAAAATAATTCACATAGAGAGTTGGTAGTTTTCAAAGATAGTAGACATAGACATTTAAAAATTTCCTTTGACAAAGTTATTCTATTTTTTAAATAGCTGTTTGATTTCTATGGTGATGCTAAATGTTAAGCCAACCTATTTTTACACTTATTGGTAGCAGTGTTTTTATTCATAATGTGAGATCTTTGGCTCACTGGTGCAGACTTGGTATTTTCATCTGCCTATTATGCGTGTTGCATTGTGAGATTCAAAAAAAAAAAAAAAGCCCGTGATATTAAACAGTGATTCATTCTTTATCATTAAGGCAGATAGACCAGCTATGTCTGACAATGTAGTGAAGCTCATTTGGCAGCCTTTTTTTTAAAACTCTGTTTTGTCCAACCTGACCATAATTTCACTAGACAAGAAAAATTAAAATTACCCTGTTGATAGTGTAATGATACCAGTTTTTCTTCATAGAAATTAAATTAAAAATCCTAACAGTAACTTTCCAGGGGTCAGTTGTGCTTTTAGAAAAATGCCTAACAAGTTCTCAAGGCTTTGTTTTCAAGATAAATCCTTCTGTTCTGAAGCATTTAGTTTTGCACTTTTGAAGTGGGCTATGGATAAGAGAGTCCATTTAATGAAAGTCAGAGTTGACTCATCTTTTTCTCTCTCCTCCTCTAGCTCTTTCTCTTTGTTGTCTGGAACTTTGAGCTCTACATGATACCACTGGTTTTGTTGTTACTGTTGACATGGAACTACTTCTTGATAATATCAGGGAAAGATAACAGGCAACGTGATACAGTAAGTTTCTGCTTTCTTATTTGTATGTGTTTTTGTTCTTATTCCTCGTCCCTCTGACAAGATCAACATTGATTTATTTTTACAAACCAGAAATTCTGTTCATAAATACTGGAGTTTGGAGGAAAGTTTTAATCAATTCAAAACTAACAACTCTTTGGACCTAACATAAGAGGAAGTATTCACCTGTTTCTAACATGACTCATCTTGGTAGGAACTAAAATCAAGAGCATACCGAAGAATGAGCTATGACTTTTAATTATAAATGGGTTATTTGAAATGAGTGTTTCTTTTACTCTCCTTATTTGTTTATATGTCTTAATCTTGAGTTAAGATATAATATCATAAAATTATTTATGATCAGACCAAATGAATGTATTTTATTTAAGACATTTCTCTGTAGTCTGTCATTGGAAGAAAGAAAAGATTGATGATTTGTTGGCCTGGAAAAGTGCATAAAGTATCTTAATTCAATGAACATTTACTGAACAACAGCAAATATCTGTGTTTGTGTCAGGAGTGTATCAGGATTACCAGCTGGAGGATAAAAAGCTTTCATTTAACCTAGGGAAAGTTATACTGAACCCACCTGCCCTCTCTGGCATTTTTGAAAGTTTTTTTAGAGTCTGTAAGACCACTTCTCTCTCAAAAGGAGTTTTATTTTTTGTAAAGATTTTATTTATTTATTTGACAGAGAGAGCACAAGTAGGCAGAGGGAGAAGGAGAAGCAGGCTGTCTGCCGAGCAGGGAGCCCGACAGGGGGCTCGATCCCAGGACCCTGGGATCATGACCTGAGCCGAAGGCAGACGCTTAACCGACTGAGCCACCCAGGTACCCCTCAAAAAGAGTTTTAAAGCAAGAAGTAAAAATAAACCACATTATAATCATATCTCTTTTTCTCTTGCCAACTTTCATTCCCCTTAGATTTTCTCAGTCACTACACCCTTAGTGAACATACAACTTCAAAAAGCTTTCTGATATATAAATGAATGGGATGGAGGTGTCTTCTCCAAATAGGATATTTGCAATTTGATAAATTCATAGGTAGCTTTTGAGAAGAATTTAAAAGTTTGTCAAATGTGAGAATCTATTTGGTAGCTGTTTGTCTTCATCAATGAGATTACATGGATTTTCTCTTTTTTTTTTTTTGCCACTGAGGGTCTACATTTAATTTATAATCAGGAGTTTCTGCCATCTACCATGTCCATAATGGTGCAGGAACCAAAGTTATCTGATCATCAGTTTAATAATATTATATAATACTTCTTTATAATAGCATCATAATGTTTGCACAGACATACCTGTGACATAAAACTTTTCCCTTTTAAGTAACTCAAGCAGGGGTGCCTGGGTGGCTCAGTTAGTTAGGCATCCAGCCCTTGATTTTGGCTCAGGTCATGGTCTCTGGGTCCTGAGATCAAGCCCCACATTGTGCTCCATGCTCAGCACTCAGTTTGCTGGAGATTCTCTCCCTCGCCCTCTGCCCCTCCCCACTGCTCGCATGCGTACACATGGTCTCTAAATACATGCATACATATATACATATGTACATAAAATCTTTAATAAATAACTCAAGCCAAATACACTTCAAATGGTAACACAGGCTGAATATACTTCTTCAGAAAAATTTTATCATCAAAATAAAAGACAAATCCTGATGCACAGCCACCAAATACATGGCAAAGTTGCCAATAACATGCTATGTTTATTTTTCTATTTATTTGTATATATTTGTTTCAGATGATTATAAATTTGAGGGAGGGGACTCTTAGTTCATCATCGTATTTGCCACTTTATCTAGCAAGTGTCTTGCAAGTCTGAAGTGTTGAAAACATTTTTTATAAGGTTTATCAAATCCAACATGAGACTGTTAATAGAGATTTTAATGGTTAGGCAGTATCAACAGAAAAGAAGTTATTATTGGCAAGGATTTTATGTATATATATTTAAATTGCACACTGAGAGACAAACCCCAAATGCCATAAGCATTGGTGTCATGGGGACCGATAGGTACTTTTGTCAATTAATCCAGGATGTTTTCTTTAAGAAAATGGGACTCTCTCAGGCAATTGCTTTTTTGTCCCATTTATTTCAGGGAGACTGTCAAGAGAGAAGAATATCTACTTTTCATTCAGTTGCCTTGAGACAAATTTGCAAATAAGATTATTTGCAAATAGGAAAAAGTGGTAATTTAGTTTCAGCTCCTTAATTCTATGAGGGGGCTTATCGTCAATACTTAGTCATTGGTTGGAGTATTCTTCCTGAAAAATTCTATATCTATAGATTTTGCTTGTTATCTTCTCCAGAATATACCTGCCTTGGCTGGAAAGGGGGAAATAGTAACAGATAATAGATCCTCTTGTGCTTACAATTCTCTAAGAATTTTTATGACTATTGAAAATTACAGGCTATGGAAATTTCTCTACTGCCCTTTTTCTCTTCAAAATATAATTCCAAAATTATATTTACCAAATCTTTTCTTTTAGGCACATCTCTAACAGAGCTCCCTCTTTAGCCATGGGCATTCGATTCCTCAGCACAGCCCACTGTGGAACAGTATATAGTCCAAATTTCATGGGACGCCGGCTCTACTCCATAACTCTCAGTAACTGCCTTTTATTTGCCCAAAACACACTGTCCACATAGTCTGTTCTTCCTGGACACCAGACCAGCAATCACAACACTTCATTCAGTTTTTTATGCAGTGGCTCAGTTGAGACCTTATGTAACTCTTAAATCCATTTTGTCTAATTATGTGTCTTCTCCCATACCTAGCTATGCATTTGAACTTGTTGCTCCTTTTGAAAAAAAACCTGGATTATACCTTGTTGTTTACAGATTACACACACACACACACACACACACACACACACACACACACACACACATCTATGCATATACCTATACATTCATATACACAAACATACATATATATGTAAATCAAGGGAAAGTATTGGTAGGGGCTGCCATGCTGTATCTAATTGACTCTACTCCATAGTGCATAGCACTGGGGGAATGACATTTTACCCTAAGTGCTTTTTGCTATCACCAAAAGCATACAGAATCTTTCAGCATGTGTGAAAACTTTAGGTAATCTCTGAAGTGCATTAATCACACCACTGCGTGATTCCAGAAACTTTCCTGTTTTAAAAGAGAGCAAGAGAGGGAGGGAGGGTGGGTGGGCAGGCAAATTTTCTCTCATGGAAAAAAAAATCATTTGTACGTTCAACTGAGAACATTCAATTAGGATGAAAATGATAAAAGAAAAACAAATCAAATTGACCTTGAGCTTTGTATAGCAAGAGAAAAAAGGAATTAACATTTTCGTGACATAAGAAGGTGAAAGAAAAAAGAAAATACTGTGAAAGATGAAAAGTTCATAGATGGGTAAAAATTCTGTCTTCACCATATGGGTTGAAAGTTGAGATTAATACTAAAATAGGAAAGGATTTCTTTGTGTGTTGGTTGTTTATTACGGAGACCATGTCCTTTCTTGGATACTTAAGATCGCAGGAGCTAAAACCCGTCTTTTCCCTACCATGATGCCTTTTCTGCCTTTCTTAATGAGAAAAATGAGATGTAATCCTTGCCGAGGAAGTTTTGCTGCGTTTAATGAGCTGAACGCTTTGAGGACAGGGTGAGGAAACAGCTGGTGCTGAGGCTGAGGCTGTCGCCTTGGGGGTGCACAGGAGGAAGAGGCATGGTTCGAAATGGTATCTCCCCTCTGCTGTTTCCCAGTTGGACTTGTTAAAAATAAGCACTCCTACATCTGAATCTACCTACACTCACACCATGACATTAGAATTTCTGGCGTGAGAATTGTTAGGCTTTTCTGGGTGGGGGGATGCCTGTTTAATAAATACACGCTTCATTGAGAAATGTTTCTGGCATGAAGGGGTTATAGAGACAGCGGTGTCATACTTGTCTTGGTTTGAGCTGTCGCTCCAAAACCTGAGGGAAACTCCCCCCACCCCCCACCTGCAGTGCCCATTAGGCTTGTACCAACTAACCACATTATAGTTACTGTGGACTGAAATTTTTTAAGTTAAAGAGTAGATGCCGGGAAGTTGCCTTTGCTTTGGGTTTAAAATCCACTGAATCCTCATCACACCCTGGGCTCCCTGTTAGGCACTTTGTTTCATCGGGACCTTCATCTCACCCCCCAGGGAGAGAAAAGCTGATTCTGTCAGCCCAGCCAGTGGGTTGGGTCCTCCTGAGTCAAGTGCCGCCAGGTCTCTCCCTCTGTGGCAAACAAGGGAACGTGCTCAGGTGGAAAAAGTGCGGCCACAAGAGCGCTCCCTTGAGAGGAGAGAATCAAGTCTCAGAGGAGGAAAGACCTGGATTGGCCGAGCAAACCAGGGGTCTCTTGCATCCCCTAGGAGATGGGAGTCATCACTACTTTACAAATAGGGAAACTGGCCAAAGAGGTTTAAGAGCTTACCCAGAGGTGCACAGTTAGAAAAGGCATGCAGTTAGAAAGTAGCAGAATGGGTATTAAGAGTCTGTCGATTGGTCTGAAGTGTGTACTCCTAACCACTGGTCAAATGCATTACTCTTGGGACTGTATTTTGATACATCCGATGTCTCCCTGGACACCTTTAGAGCAAGTTTCTCCCTTGAGTTTTAGAAGAGCCAGTAGCATTAACTCCACCTTCAAGCACACAGATTGATGGAAGACCCTCATTGCCTCCACTCTATTGTCCTCCATATCCTCCTTGCCTTCAGAGAAATGGAACAGATGTTTATGAAGCAACTTCTATGGATCAGGTATCCTGCTAAGCCTTTTTAGACACATCAACTATTTTAATTCTTTACAATAACCTTATCAAGTAGATTATTCTAAATGGTTTTATCATCATTTTACAAACAAGGAAATTCAAAACCAAAGAAGGTAAATAATGAGCACCATAGAGGAAGTGGGATGTGAACCCAGCTCTTCCCTGTTCTGAAGCCCAGGCTACTTTCATGGCATGTGCTTGGCCATACCTCTCCTGAGGGCTTAC